GTATAGGGCCTCGTGTACATGTGAAAACATTCTTGAGGCCCCAGAAGTTGTACCGGAAAGACCCGGTTTCTGGCCGCGCCCGGTTCGGTGTTGAGACACATAAGCGTGCGAGCAAGGAAGGACAGTGGAAGAATGGTAAGCAGACATGATTTCATCTTTGGTTGCTAAGTTTGCTTTGGATTGTGCGGTTACAGGATGTCATGCAATGTCCTTAGTCTGGTTTTAGAAGTGCCTTAAGAGGAAAAAAACCAGGATGTGTCATATGTACATGTATCAATGGATAAAACGGATCATACAGAAACTGTCTACGTGTCTTGATTACGCTCCACTTAGTAGAGCTATGTCTTGGTAGTCTCGGTCCAAAGACCGCGACACAAACCACACTTGGTTGCAGACAACATCCACAAACACAATTTGCGGCATTATTTCGCAGACGAAACATCGAACCAGCGAGGGGCACGGTTGCAGTGCATGCAGTGAGCAGTGTGTTTGGGATTAGCACAGGTCACATTCGCCAGGATGTTGTTAGCCTTTGATCAAGGTGCCGGCAGTGAAATGGATCATCGCTCAAGAGCGAGGAGCTGGAAGAGACTAGTTTAAGCACCAAACAACGCACTATTACAGACTAGAACCGCACGCACGCCCCGCACGCCTTTGGAGTTCTGCCCACGTAGCTTATGTTTTTCTTTACATTTGCTACCGTTTCGGTAGCAGTGCGATTATGCGTATGCGCAAGTCTCCACCAATCAAAACGATCGACATCTGTCGCGCATGTAATAAATTATTCATCATTACAATGGCGCGCGTATTCAACACGGCGTCCTTTCCGGCAGTGATGTAAGCTCCAGACGACAATCTCTTCCAGAATTGCCTCAAATATGCAGCACCAAAGCTTGGGTATCCGATCGACAAATTGAAACCACAGCAAATGTTGGCCGTGAAGGCTGTTCTGGAGGGTCAAGCATGGACGTGTATAATAAAATCTGGACTCGCAATGCCCTTAATCAGCTTATAGAGTCATTGAATCCACTCGCGGCCATTTTACCGAGCCGAATACAAAGCTTTCCTGGCAATGCCAGCCTTTGTTCTTCCTGACGTCAATAGAAGGGAGCCAACCCACGGTTTTGTATTCGGCTCGGTAAAATGGACGCTGGTTGGCTTCTTTTTCATACAAAGGCGTTGCAAGTCCAGTTTTTTTTTATATACGTCCGTGGGGTCAAGACGTATTTGTCAATCTTCAAACTGGATATGGCAAAGTTTCAAATACCAGGACGCACCGTGCAAAGACATCATGAACGTAGCCTAGACATGCTCGGACTATTTAGCCCCCAAAACACAATTGGTTCAGAGAAATGTGAATAATTCATAAATATTAGCATATTGAATAATTCAGATAACCACTAGAAACAAAGCTCCAAAGGTGCTTGCGGCGGCGCGTACAGTCCACGACTCACACAGCTCGGCAAATGCATGCGCATGCAGGGTTAATTTTGGGCTTGCATGCAGTTCGTCATGCGGTCTTGACTATCCATTTCGCCGCGGGTGCCTTGATCAAAGGCTAGGATGTTGTAGGATCGCACCACATCCGAGCCGTCACTATTTTCTGCTCGGTAGGAAAAGAACGTGAAAATCACAACTAACCAAATCAAATACTCAAATCGATTCACAGATCGACTCAGTTGTACACTCAGTCGAAAGGAATTTACAAGGCAAAAGCATTCATTAAACTTTGAGATATTACATAACTAAAAAGCTCTGTGTAAAGATAATCTTCCTATTAATGGGTTTGGTCCCATGAATTCATACTATAGTATACATTCTGCTTTGACTACGTCCTGCCCTTGCATGGCTTGGAATAATCGACGGAGATCGAACACTTTCACGAGTCAGTGACAGCTTTAAAGGCTGAAGCTCATTTGAAACTGGTCTATTTTAAAGGAAAACAATCGAGAGCAAATGCGGATTAAGAGTGCTGGGTCTGACGGGAGACTCTAAAGCCTTGTGGCGACAGCACTTACATTGGGAACCGAGAGGCAATTTCCACAAACGTCAACCCCAAAATTACAACTTGGTGGTTATTGTTTGCAAACAAAAGAAAGGTTCATAGAACTCATAGACTCTAGAAGTCTTTGAACTCAGTCAGTTTACTGCAATATCGAGCCTCATGTCTTCCATTAGAATTTCCCTGAAAACATTTTATCTGTTCTTAGTGTTGAGGCAATTAAAGATGTATATTTCGTCTTGGTAGCTCTCAAGTAAAACGTTAAAGATTTCGTTCATAACGCTGGCAATAAAAATGAAACCTTGATGTATAATTATTAATATTTAACTTGAATTCAGACGTGGCAGTCAACTTGAAAAGAAACAAGATACATTTGATGCATAAAGTTAGGCTCAATATTTTACTTTCTTCGTGGTACTCAACTAGTTTATTACACATTATGGTGTATTGCATATAGGGAGAGAGTTCCGTATACATGTACGGACGCCACATATTTTCAGTAAATTTTGATTAGCTATGAGATATTATTAGATGTATTAGATATATATTAGATATGTGACGGACTTTTCCATTACAAAATGACTGGATTCACGCGAACTGGCGCAAAGATTTGGTTCAAATTCAAACTTAGTTTACAAATGATACGGCGGATTTCAAATTTGTGCAAGCTATTAAGCGATTAAGACACTCTTCTTCTTTATATAAATCTAATTTTTATAAGCAGGAAAACTTATTTTTAATAGAAATCGATCAAGATCGGCAACACTCAATGCATTTTAGGTGACAAATAAAACAATTTGAGGTAATTTAAAACTGAGTTTTTCATTGCATTTTCTGACACAGGGCACAAAATCAATGCTACTGAAAAATAAAATCATTTAGATTTGTCATGAAAACTTTATCATTTTGCTTGGTTTCCTGAAAATTCTTTAACAAAGACGACGCCTCATTTTGCGACCAGAGCGCGCGAAATCAGACATAGCCTGGTGCTACGTTGTTAAGTGCAAATCCTGCTCGCGCAGTTTGGTAATGAGCGCCATGAACATACACGTGAACTTTCGGAACGGTAAAATGGCTGCCACTGTACTTCCGGTAGCCTCAACGACGTCCATATCACGAATGCTACATTGCTTGTCCAGATTTTATTATGCGTCCGTACGTGCTGACAGCGTGAGAATTTGCCTTGAGCAGAAGCACCCCCTCATCGGTTGTAAAGAGCCATATGGTCGGGTAGTGTTCGTTTGTTGATAACGACGCTACCGTAACACTTGCCTTTCATAGTGGTTTGTGAACCAGCGAACTGCAGTTCCGTTCTCACATAGGCTGAGTTCGGGCGGCTTGTTTTCGTATCACGAACAGCTCGAATTGTTGTTTGTGGGTCGGCCGCTCGAACGCTGGTAACGTACAACCGGTTATCGCTACTAGTTACTTGTACCATGCAAGCAACATACAACAAACATGCAACATGGCGGCGTCCTGGTACATTCTCCGAGAGTTATTGTTTGAGCAAACTTCTTTTCCATTTAAAAAATCATATCTGTCATGGAAAATTATTGATGTTAAAACTTTCCATTGTCTCCAGTTTTGTAAGCCATCTTAGTTTTT